AATTTTCAAGAAACTTTTGGACGATTTCTTAAGGGACCGTAATATACAGGGGTACAGGTACTCCTAGAATGAGATCCTAATAGGTTGGACTTGATGGACTAATGTCTTTATTCAACCTCAAATACTATGTAACTATGTAAGGTATTGTCACCTTTGGAGAAGTAGCTGAAGAGGAAAACCAAATCATTTTGTAGATTAATAAGCAGTGGAACGACATAAGAATGCATGTTTCCATGAGTTAGTGGGAGGTGATTACACTGGATACTGCTTAGAATGGAAGCCTTGTAGTCTTCTTTCTACCAACCAGCTAAAACCTTTTGTTTAATATATTTTTATTTGTACAAAATATTCATACAATAATAAGAATAAAAAATATAACAAAGCATCAACATTCACATATCTCACTTACATACAAATTTAACTTCTCACCATCACCACAACTTACAACGTCGCACACTATATATTTAATTTTTACATACATATGTTAACATGACCACCCAAATTTCCTCCCTTTGCCATTTCCATTTACTTGTTACCCCTTACTATTTATTGGAGGGAAGTGGTGACTACAACATTTTTTCATTTCCCATTTACCTTAACCCCTTCGTGACGGGAGACGTACAGTGTACGTCTTGTCACTTTGTGCCTATATGACTGGCCACGTACACTGTACGTGACGAGTTATATCAGAGTCATGGCTGCCATTTAAAGATGTTGCATTAGGCCTCTTTTACCCTTGCGGATATCTGCCGGTATAATTGAAAGCAAATCTATTTCTGGTGTTACTGAGCAGTTTATCTCAATAAGCTTCTCGCATATATTAACTATGGTTTCCCAATATGGTCTAATCAGTTCACATGACCACCAAATGTGTAGCATATTTCCCTCTTCGTGGCCGCATCTCCAGCATTGCTTAGATATAACTCGGTATATTCTATGCAGGGTAGTTGGGCACCTATACCATCTTGAAATTATTTTATAATTTCGTTCTTGAGCTTTACTCGAGATACTAGATCTAAATGTTAAAACAAAGGATCAATTCCAATCCTCTGTTGAAATCTCATGTCCCAGTTCTCGTTCCCACATTCTAGTATAATATGGACGGTTAGAGTATACCTGTTTCAATAATATATTATATAATGTAGATATATTATAGGTCCCTCCTTCCCTGTTTACACACAAATCTTCAAATGCTGTCAGTTCCCGCATCACATTTCCCCTTATAGAGAGTGACCTAAAATGTTTCAATTGCAGGTATTGCATCCATCGTCCCCCTACCACATCCTCTGTACATATATCTGATAGAGGTCTCAATCTATCTTTCGTTAATGCTTGAATAATTGGGGAGGGTTTCGCATTGGTCCACTTTAGGAACCTTAATAGTCCCCTACCTGTGGAGAAATCTGGATTACCTAAAATAGGTGTAAGGGGACCCACATAAGATGACACTTTAAAAGACCTAATTGCCTTATCCCATATTATTAGCAGATCTCTTACTAACGGCAATAAAGTTTCCTTAACCGGGCGTCTCTCCGGGTTCACCCATGGGATCGAAAATAAAGGTATTGGAGTAGCTTCCTGCTCGATTGCCACCCATAATTTTGTATTATTTTGATAAATCAAATCCAACATACGTCTCAAAAACGCAGCCATATGGTATAATTCCATGTGTGGGAGCCCCACCCCTCCCTCACGCCTATGCATAACCAAAATGTCATACCGCAGGCGGGGAGATGATCTTCCCCCACACATATTTAACAAAGATAGATCTCAATGATTGAAAAAAAGTCCTTGGCAATTTAATTGATATGGTTTGAAACAAGTTAAAAAACACCAGCTAAAACCTATTAACTGTACAGTTGTCTAGGCAGCCCATGTGGTGATCCAAGGTGGCTGGTTCTGTTTACTGCCACTCCTCTGTGCTGTGTCTTGATCTCTGTGTGTACACTTTACAGCAGGGGAAGGCATACCTTGTCCATCCAGCTGTGGCGAAACTGCAAATACCATCATGTATCTGCCTCTGGAACTCATACCTGTGGCTACCATAATCTTGTAATGCCTTATGGGAATTGTAGATTCACAGCAGCTGGAGGGCTGAAGTTTGTCTACCCCAGCTTTTACAGTAAGTATTGATTATGCTGCCAACCATATACGGAACAGGGATGCCCAGTGCATCTCGCCAGCGCATAGACGAGAGCAGATACTTATATGTGTATAATGTGTGTCCTAATTAGAAGCATGCCTCAGGGGACATATAGCTATAAAGCTCAACATTTAATATGTTCCACAAATCATTTCTGACCTTATTATATGACCAGTTTTGCAATGGAGGAGATGATTTTGTTCATTGATTTCACTAACGCATATTACAAGGAACAATGAACGTAATAGATTTTATAAAGCAGATTTACTCTTTACAGTTGTCAGCATTCTTCCCTTAAATGATACTAGAGGCATCTTTAATTGCATTGTAACGCCTATAAAGACACCAATGCATTCAGTGAAATGTGGTAATTACATAGGAATAGACAAAGCAATAATTAAGGGTTATAAAGTGCCCGGTGCAGTGAGGTCCCTGAAGCACTGAGGTAGTTAGAGGAAATGCCCAAATTTCCTCTGCAGCACAAGCATTCCTCTGTAGATCCCCCTTTCTTTATAGGGAAGTCTTATCACGTTGTCAGAGCACACATGTGAGAGCGCATTGTGTTTCCTCTATGGGCCATTTCACACAAGCAACTTTGTAACAGCCGCAGGTCTCTGTTTATTATTAAAAAGGTTTTGGGTGATTTGTGGCCACTGTAATTGGCTACAATTATTATCTGTCCAGCTACACAACACTAGTGTGCCATGGCCATCTGCAGCTGCATTGGATGACATGAGTAGCTACTGAACTCGGTGATTCTGTAGAATGTTGCAAAAAGTGACTAAGCTACTGATCACTTTGAGTTAGCTAGCGAACAATATATTTGAATGAAAATGTTTGTGCCCGGAGTTCAGTTTTAAGCAAAGTTCACAGCATTATTATAGTATGACACCCTATAAGGGGGTTATGAAAGTACAGTATCATATTGCCGTGATGAGCTAAAAATCAGCTGCTTGCTTATCTGAATATTGTTTTTAGGTGCACCATTGAACAGAAAAGCTGACAATTGACATCTTCCTTCTCAATATGTATTCCAACCTTTTCTGTTTTTGCTGTTCTGCCACAATCTCGGGCTCACTCTGCTCCGTGCAGACCAGGACTGGCACTGTGGCTCTGTGCAGGGAGATTGGAGCAAGATCAGTACACACTCTCCCTCTGATCTCCCCTCCGGTGTTGTAAAGGTGGAAGTGATGTTTATTACATCACTTTCACATTCAGCTGTCACCCTCCAGCTACAGAAGCTGGAGAGAAGCCAGTGAAGCAGATCTCTTCTTTGGGGGTCCCTAGGTGACATTAGGGGTCTTAGGGACCCCTGATATCTCCATAAAGAGGACCTGTCACTGTAATTTGATATCACATAGGGGTCTTCTTAGCCCCTATGTGATAACAATAAAGTCAAGTGTAAAAAAAGTCACCAAAAAATTAATTGCACACAAAAAAAAGACGACAAATCCCCCATCCCTACATACAAACAAAAAAATGTTTCAGGTGCGCCTACGTGCAAAAACTATTGCGCCCACACATGTTGCATAATGGGTGTGTAAACACCCCGGTCTTCAAGTGGCTAAAACACAGAAGCATGCAATGATTGAGTTAGGCCATACAGTATGTATGTCATTTAGTATATCAAGCATTTTATTCTAAATTAGAAGGGACAGTAGATATGAAACGGGCATTATTCTTTGATACCCCTCGTATATCATATTAACAATTTAGTCTCGGTCTCCGGGGCTGCGAGGGCTGCTAATAATTAGCGGATCTTCTGAACCAGACACTCACAATATTGTGTTGTCTGTCCTCAGTTAGCTTCAACATCATTGAGTGCCAGTGTCCTGAGCCTGCCTTGGGTCGGCGACAGGAAGCAGAGATTATATTGGTTCATTTTATTATAAGTAGAGAATGGCAGAGTAACTTGGCAGTGGTGGACCAATTAATTAAAACCAATTGCATTCTCTAATCAGACCGCGCACTCTTGCATAAAGGGTTAGTAAACCTAATCCTTAGCGGAACAATACATGTCCTAGTTCTAAATTGACCACAGCCTGCAAAGACTGGCAAGACTCAGTCCTTCCCCAGGAAGTGATAACCCCTTTTTTCGACTGTTGGATGTGCCATATACCACGCAGAGTTTTCTCCATATTGTTTTTACATTGACAGTGTATAACTTATAACTGTAAAGGCTATTCAGAAAAAGTTTTGCTGCATAAATATACAGTACGTGCTTTCATCAAAATAAATACCTAAAACAACTCTTATTATCAATTTAGAAAATCCGCAAAGCTTTAATGTTAATGCTTTATGTATATTTCTGTCTGCCAGGGCAATTTAGAAGGAAAACACATGTGATGCAATTTATTAGCTGACTAATATTTTATTCCTAACTTTTACAAATAACCGCTCTTTGTCAGGTATAGTGATGAAGGTGATTAGAGAATTATTAAATAGGTGTCACCTACACACAATTTCTCTATCCTAATTTTATTAATTCATACTTTTACATTACAATATGGAATACATTAAATATGTATTTCAAGTATGGCTACTCCTCCCCAACATACGTTATCTGAATAGACCTGAGAATAAAAACTCCCAACTAGAGGCATGTTCACACCCTTGGCCTTTGAGCTGTGTTTTTGTGCACACCTCTGCATTATATAATGAGAACAGGGCACATAGAAAACAATTTGTTTTTCACTATTTACATCATACATGTGTGTCCATCCAGTCTTGAGATTTACAAAGTTTAGCCACACCACACAGCTCTGGCAGGAGAGCAGACCTGTTGATTTATTTTTTCTTTACTGCAGCAGTTCAGTGAGGCTATGTTCACACTATGTACATGCGTTTATCAGCACTAGAAAAATGCAGGTCACCGCTAGGGCACATAAAGAACAATTGTTTTCTATGTACCTCATTCACACCACAAAGCTCCC